ATTACCTTTGCAATTATTATTTTATTGCACGAATAATTTAGTACCTATACAAGAGAGAAAAATTATAATAATCATAATCTTTTAAAATTTTGAAATATATTGTTACAATTGCGGTTACAATAATTTCTTTACCAACTATATTAGTGTGATAAAAGAATTTAATCAAATATTTCAATGTAAAAAGTATAAGGATAAAATTTTAATTTTAATTATTTTTCAGAGTTCAGCTACTTGTATGGATTAAACAGCTTAATTGAATTAGTACTTAAATTTCAGTACATACCAAACAACTTTTTAGATTAAAAAATTCAGCATTTAGCTTTTCATACTTAATTTTCAAATTTCAATTTTATCAAATAGCACCTTAGAGCATCTTCAATGGAGCTGTCAAACAACCAGCCAAAGCTATAATTTGGCAAGAGTGACAAAAAGAGGGTCTCCAATAGCGTGCTATTCTTCTTGCCAAAGATAGCAGATGCCATTTTTGTTCTCAAATTTGACAGGAGGTTTGGCATTTGCCAAGCATGCCACATCATAAAAAATAATAGATTTTGGCGTCAACGCTCAATTTATCTTCTCCCAGAAAACATCCCAAAATGTTTGAATTTTGTTTTTTAAATGAAATTCACTAATTTTTTTTTTTGTCAAACAGAATTCATTTATTTATTATAGCATTTGTTCCTTCAAATTTTTTTTTTCTCAAAACAAATTTCACCAATTTCTGCATTTCCTAGACACAAATTTCACAAATTTCAGAATGATTAGTCAAGAATTTGTTTCACAAATTTCACAAATATTCTAAACAATTAGTCAATAACAAATTTCAGAATAATCAGTCAATCCAAATTTCAAAAATTAATATAAGTAACAAATTTGAGAATGATCAGTCAACCCAAATTTCACAAGTTTCTATAAATTTCTGAAGCAATCTAGTTCAAATTTAGAAGATAAATACTTGGATTCCAACATGATTGATAACAAATGTGGTCTGAATCTGTTGTATTTTTTTCAACTAATTTAGTCTGAAACAGACATAAATCTAAAGGGAAATGGGTTTGTCTAGACTCAGAGGCAGATCTTCATAGCTCTGCTCTCGTCATAGGCTTTGGACTTGATCAACAATAACAACAACAAAAATAAAATCAATATGGAGAGAGAGAGAGAGAGGGGGGATAACTTAAAGCATAATTGATGATTCCAGAGATAACTTAAAAAATCAACATGGAGAGAGAGAGGGGGGGTAACTTAAAAAATGAAGGTGAGAAAGATGGATGAACAACTGATTGGCTCATCATAGGCTCTGGACTTGATCAACCGATTGGGTTTATTGAAGAAAGAGAGATGGATAAACATGGAGAGAGAGAGAGAGAGAGAGAGAGAGATATGGAGATGCTCAGCCGATGATTCCAAAATTCTCATCTCAGCTGTTGGATTGTGAAAAAATCAACGGTGTGGACTCTTGGAATGCAATATGACCGTTGCGCTCTTTTTTTCCTAAAAAAAAAAATTGAAAGAAAAATTGCAAAACAGAAACAACAACGACAATATTTTTTATGTCTCAACCGCTATTATAAAAATAAAATTAAAAAAATAATCATATCCAATCTCTCAATCTCAATTCCATTACAGAGTAAATAAATTGCATTCATCTTCTTCTACTCTCTTTATCTCAATTTCATTTCACAGCAAATCTCCCAAATTACATTTTCAATTTTTTCACACAATCACTATGGAAGGTTCATCAAAAAACAAAGAGAGGAAAATCATTCACCATAGATGAAGATGTGGTAATTTGTAAATCTTGGTGTCGCATTTCTGAAGACCCAATTGTTGGCAATTCGCAATCATATGCTCACTTTTAGGAGAGAATTTATGAAAATTATTACTTGCTTTAGAATGATCAGTCAAGAACACAAGTGTCTATCCAATTTTGATGGGGTATAATCATGAAATGTTCCAACAAATTTCGTGAGTGTTTAGTGCAAGTCGAAAATCTTCACCCAAGTGGGATGTCTCAAGTTGATATAGTAAGATTTCATATTAATTTATTATATTAGTTTTTTATTTTGTATTGTATAAAAGTTAACTAATTACTTAATTTAATATCTTCTCTATACAGATGTTTCAAGCAAAACTTTTATACCACCAAGATGAAAAGAAACATTTTGCTTTTGAACATTGTTGGCCAATCTTGCAAAACAATATCAGGTGGAAAAATGTAACTCCTACGAACACAGCGAAGTCAAGGATACATACACTATTTTTCCCTAATTCAGCCCCCGATTCCTCTATGGATAACTGCATTTCTCTTGAAGATGATAACAGTCCAAGTGTTGGTAAGAATCTAACTGTTGGTAATAATCCAATCAGTGATGGTAGTGTCTATGTAAGGTGTAAAAGGCCTACGGGTAAGAAAGCTGCAAAAGAATTATTTTGGAGAAATCAAATCGTTGAAGCTAAAGTTTACAAATTTAGCAATGTGTTAGAGATATTTAATCAACACCTTGTTGAGAAGGAAAAGAAAAAAGTTGAAAGAGAAGAAAAAAAGATTCAAGCACTGCAGGAGATGAAAGAACTTGAGATAAAAAATAAAGAACATTTGATAATGACTACGGACATTTTTCATTTGGATTCTTAGATGAAAGCGTATTACATAATGCGAAAAAATGAGATTTTGCCAAGTGGTCTGCAAATGTCAGCAACCCAAATTACTATTTTTCCCTACCTCCTGATGGATAATTACGGGAGAATGTATTTTTTAATTTTGCAATGATATTATTTTTTTTCATGTAATATGTACTCTTTATTTGTAATGTCATTTTTATTTTGCAATATAATGTAGTGGTCCATTAATTTTGAGTATTTTTTATGTTCCAATGTGATTTTGGTTTTTTTTGCAGTGGTTGTTTTTGGTGGGGGTGAATTATATATATATATATATATATATATTTTAATTCTTCAATTGTTTTTTCATTTTTTATATTTGTCTAGTCGGGTATAATGTAAGTGTAAATTTTTTTTATAAACAGTTAAAAAAAGTCACAAGAGACAAAAAAATACTAAAAAATTTATATCCGAACAATATCTATAAACTTGAAGAGAAAGTTGGTGAGATTTGTCAAAATAGCATGTGTATCATTGAAACACCATTATTATAATTTGACAAATCAGTATTATTTATTGTAAAATTATAACAATGACAATAATATTATAGATACCAACTTTTTTTTCTTCTTCTATATATTATATAAAATAAGTAATAGAACTAAAAGGATACGAAACTTTAATTGAAATTGTTGGATGACAAGGTAATTCCTCCCAAACGGAGCATCTGTGTCACTCTTTTTTGGCAAGTGTCTATCTATGGCTGTTTTGAAAAGATATTTAAAAGGGAAAATCGGTCTAAGGTCCCTATCCAACTTTTAGTAATAGATTAGGTCCACAATCTGTTCTGTTGTAGTCTAAGGTCCCTCACCCCGTACCCTTATATTACACTTACCGTCTACTTGGAAGAAGTCAATCAAAGTAGTGACATTTTCGTGGCCCTGGGGAACGGAGTCGGCTTCGTTGGCGAGAGGTTTCTGAGTGGTTTATAAACAAAGTTGCCTCTTTATCTACCTCCAACCTAGTTTGGAACTCTGCAGATGAAAGTTTGCATCGATGAAGCTTTAAAATCTACTCAAGAAGATAGATCGCCACCGCCGGTGTCAGTCTTCTCCTTCTGCTCCCGATCTCACTTCTCTTTCCACTATCACGCTATCTCTCACCAGGTCTCTCTCTCTCTCTTTCTCTCTCTCTTCGTTGTTGTTTATTTGAAATTTCTATTTTATGTATATATATATATATATATATTTATGGTAGAGCCTTGATCTTAGATGCTTTTTTTCTTCTCTGTACCTTTTGGTTCAACTGTTGAGATCTAGAAGCCTTGGATGTAAGTTAAAGACCATTTGGAGAGAAATCCAGTCATGATACTACAGAGAATGTAAGTTATCAGTCATGTAAGTTAAAGACCATTTCTCCAGATGTAAGTTAAAGCCTTGGATGTAACTATTGAGATCTAGAAGCCTTGGTATAAGAATTTTTCTGGAGAGAAATTCTGAAATCCAGAGAAATTTGGTTAAAACACAGACAGAGAATCCAGAGAATTTCTCTAGAGAGAAATTTCGAAATCCAGAGAAATTTTCAGAAGTTTTTCTGGAGAGAAATTCTCTGGATTGAATTTTCTCCATCAACCAAATATATATATATATATATATAATGTATGAGATGAGATGTAATTTAAAATAAATTAAAAATTAATAAAAATATTAAAAATTCTAAAAATTCAATCAAATATTCCACATAACCCACATAAAATTCACATTATGGGCGTCTCACACCACATTTAGGGGTTGTTTAGAATATCTTAAATAAGTGTATTTTTTGACTTTTTAGACTAAAAAGTTGAGGAAAAAAATATGATTGTTTGGGCTAACTTTTTTACTTTTTATGAAAAAATGTGTATTAAAAAATTATATAAATTAGTGTGTAAGGGAAAATTAAGATTGAGAGTTGTGTAACCGTACTTTTTAACTTTTGGTGAATAGTGATAACTTTTTAACTTTTTGAATAACTTTTTGACTTTTTAAATAATTTTTTGACTTTTTAACCTTTTTTCAACTTGTCAAACTTGGCCTTAATAAAATCTTAGGCAAATTACATATACCCCTCGAGATTTAACAAAATTACAGATACCCCTGAAGTTTGAGAAATTATAGATAAACTCCTGAAGTTACTGTTTGCATAATAAATTAAGAGACTAATTGTTATGAAAATATAAATCTCAGAGGATAATTTGTTATGAAAATATAAACCCTAAAAGTATTTATAATTTTCAAAACTTCAAAAATATTTATTATTTAACTAAACTTCGAGGGAGCTAATGTAATTTGCCGTAAGGTTTTTGCATTACTCAAAGATTAAAAGGTGTTTTAACCCACTTCCAAGCGAGGCCCGTATATAGCTGCTGCCGACTCCCCCCGTGTCTGTCTCTCTCTACTTTTCTTTCTACACTCTCTCTCCGTCTTCTCTTTTTCTCCATGGCCAACCCCTTCCTGAGTTTGACTTCACATCGCGAAACTCACATTGCTAGAATGGGCAGAATTAGGGTTTCCCAGACTCTTCCTTCAGCCCCTGATCAACCCACACCCTCTGATCTTCCAACTGCGATGCTCATTGATGGAGAAGAATTACATATTGGCGGAATTGCAACGGTTGTAAACAATGAAGCTTCGCCGGCTTCGTCGACGAATGCAGATACTGAAACTGAAAAGAAAAGCTGTAAAAAGAGGGATTTGAGTGAATACAATTTGGATGGCTTGAGTTGCCCTATTTGTATGGAGCCATGGAAATCCCAAGGCGATCATCAAGTTTGGTGAGACAAGCCCTTTTCATTATTGCTACTGTAGATATTTTTCCACTCATGATTTAGTTCAATCAATTGTGTTTATATGCCAATTGGTGGTAATATTACTTGAATTACCATGCTGTTTGTTGTGTAATAACTAGAGTAGAGGTCAATTAGATTAATTAAGTCTAGGGGTGTTCAGTTTTGATGTTGGTTTTAGCTTGTCAAAAGAAGTTATGATGTTGTTTTTCGGGGGGAAAAAACGAAAGAAAGGAGGAGGAATGGCTTCAGGAGTGAATGAGTGGACACGTGATACAGCGGAATACACGGGAACTAAATATCATTCTAGTTGACAAAGGGGCTCTTGAATCCCAAGAAAATAAAACCTTGAACTCACAAGAAAGAGTAAAATACTTTAATATTATTGAATAAAATAGTCTTTTCCATAAGGGTTAGATAGCTATTTACAATAACCTAGACCTTGGAGGCCAAGTACTCTTGGATACCAAGAAATCTAACAATTTCTTGGGGCCATCGGACTCAAAGAAAACTCTTGAGTTAATTGTAGTGCACTTGTGGGAAACTCCTTGCCAAAGGCCTGTGCACTCCTGAGGATTAGTCGGACTTTAATTTGAACACCTCAGTGCCAATAAAAAATAAAAAATAAATAAAATGTTAAAAATAAAAATATAGAATTTCTTAAAATCTTGTCCTACATCAGAGTTTCAGGACTAGGTGTAGTTCGGTGCGAAAATGGATTTTGACATCTTTTCTAGAGATTGCATGTTGTCCAGGGTGAAGATCACCTGGTTCTTTGGTTGTCTCAATGAGGACTTAAAATCTCCTAGGCGTTTGAAATGGAAAAGAAACACGACAAGTATGGAAGAACAATATTGCATTCAATGGATTGAATTACAATAATTGGAGCAAACTAAACTAATTTGGAAATAGAAATTACAATATCTAATAAAAGCTATTGAAATTAGAGCTAAAGAGACTAGGTCTTGAAGATAAAGTTGCTAAATATTGTTGAGTTGATTGGATGATTGGTTGTGCGCCGTTCACTTCTGCAATCTGACCTTATATAACCAGGCCTCCTTAGATGTTAGGGCCACTTTCTCAACCACTTCCACTTGGTACGATGCTAGGTTAACTATCTCTTGTATTGCTGAATTTGCTAACTGCAGGAGTGAACAGTTGTTGCCATCAGCTTCTGATCATTGAATGATGGGTAGTGGAGCTCCAAATGTGATGGATGAATGCCATGTGCCCAAACCACCAGGCCATATCCCAAGATTGTTGCTCCATGGTGGTTTAAATGGATGAATGCCTTCTTGACATCTCTCACCTAGAGAAGTCAACTAGGTAGATACGGACAGACCCTATTCTGACCACATTCTCTACATTTGATGGGTTCCTTACCTCTTCTCCATCACTAAGTCAAATTATTACTCCAAGCTCTTCAAACCTCAGCCCAACCCATTTATCATATATACACATATGCTACTTGTAATCTATGCAATGCACAAGGATTTTGTAGGTTCTAGTTTGAGATAAGTTTCATCTTGTGTTACATGGACTTTTCTATTTTTCCCAAAGTACATTCTCCAGATATAAGAAGGCTATGGGTGTGGGATATGTGGCCAATGCCTGTATCCAATGTACACACTTGGATTCTAACTTTGAGAAGATGATAAAACTCACATTGGTTAGTAAGGAAACATTTCTAGCGTCACACATGGATGAGAGATGGAAATTTCATATTTTTTCTAAATCCTACTTAATTTCAAGAGCATTCCTAAATAATTTATAACATCACATCTAAGAATATTAGACTGTTAAAATTTACCATCACCTACCACCAATTTACCATCACCTACCACCACCTACTCCTCACCTACTCCTCACCTACTACACTCACCCTCTCCTATATAATGAGCCATTCACCATTTGTAATATATAACATTATATCAATCAATAATACATCATTCATTCTGTATACAATTCTCTTTATACATTGATTTTTACATGGTATCAGAGCCATAAGATTTAGGCCTATATTTCTTTCTCACCGGCGGGCAGTCGGCCGGCAACCTTGCCTTCACTGCCCGCTGGAGTTTTCTAAACATACCTTCACTCCGCTGCCACTCATCAGAATCACTGTCGATATTCATTGGATAACAGATGTTCTGCTCGGCCCGCCTTCTCAGCACAAAGACATTAAAGTAATAGCTGACGATGTCTTTTTTGGTCCGGTTAGGGAAAACCATTGAAAGATGATCCCAAAAGTTCTTACCCAATGATGCGGGATTTGAAAAAAACCACCTCTTGAAATAAGTGTTCTTCCTCTAGACTCCATCTTTCTGCCACACCTCCCACATTGCTGTCAAGTTTGCTGAGATTGATCGTCGATCTGGCAAGGAGATTGAGAAGGAGCCCAAGTTCTTCCGTGAACATGCTCTCCTTCCTTTTACTCTTGGAGTGAGGCAGATGATTTGCTGCTGTAACAAGATGGATGCTACCACTCCTAAGTACTCAAAAGCAAGGTATGATGAAATTGTGCAGGAAGTCTCTTCCTATCTGAAGAAGGTTGGTTACAACCCTGACAAAATTCCTTTTGTCCCCATCTCTGGTTTTGAGGGTGACAACATGATTGAGAGGTCCACCAACCTCGATATGATTACACAGCCCAAGAGGCCATCAGACAAGCCTCCTCTTCTCCACATTCTTGATAACACCAACAGCAACAGTTTGACGCATTTATTAGAGAAAAGGTCCAAAGGCAGCTCCTGTCAAAGCTGATGCTCAGCAGGCTGTACCACCTATTGAAGTGCCAGCACTATCCTTGCACATGGGGGGCACCCACTCATTTCTTTATTGTTTTCTTTTACTCACCCATGTGACCCACGATGCAACCTATACTTTTTCTTTTCTTTACACTCTTGTTCCCCACTTTCTTTATTATATATATATATATATATCTTTTTATTATATTATATTAAAAAAAAAAAAAAAAAAATCTTCATCTCTCCTCCATTTGATTTCCAACTCCATTATTTTTATTTTTATTTATTTTCTCCAAACCACTTTCGGATAAATTGCTGAGTTTTGAAATTTAAAAAGACAAAATATAAATGAGTAATACTTTAAACAGATTTATTGTAATTTATCTATTTTTTTAAAAAGAAAATGATAAAAGTAAGTTTAAAAAAATTAAAAAAATAAAACTGATTTTTAAGTTTTAGTGAAAAGAAAGCTCAAGGGTGTGACTTAAAAGGCCTAATCACATGGGAGTAATCTCTGGGGTTAGACCCTATAAGGAGTCGAGAGTTTAGAGATCACCATTATTTGGTTGTTACATAACAAGGCCATTCAACCATGTAATGGTAAGTCATGGATTCAGAAACAGGAAGGGATTCGAACTCACACTCCAGACATTGAGTACGGTTCCGCCAAACCTAAAAAATTCTTCCTACCAATCATATGTCTTATCACTTAGGAGGCTGACCCCAAAAAAAGTAGAACTTGAGATCTCAAGGTTATCCTCTAAAGGCTTTCCAAAATATCACATTGGGTTACAAAGGTGTGACTTACTCCCTCTCTCAAAAAAAAAAAAAAACAAAAACAAAAACAAACTATAGAATGAGAGTGACCTTTTCAAACTCGGTCTGTGACTCACTAGACGTTTTGGCGTAGGGTTCTAAATTTGGTCCGGCCCAGCTCATGTCAAGCCTCACGGGCTCCCGCCAAAATTTAGGTAGGGCCACGGGCCAAAAAATTAGGCCCAGGCCCAGGAGGTATTCGGGCCTTGGGCGGGGGTCTGGGCTCAAGCTTGGGCAACGCTTGAACATATTTTTTAATTTTTTTCACCAAATTTTTTTTCCCCGCCAAAATGACACTAGGTCTCGGGCTGGGCTTTAAGTGGGCCTTGAGCAAACCAATGGATTAGGCCCACAAGTTGAGCTGGACTTCAAAAAGATAGCCCAAGCTTAGGCCCAATGTCTCGGGTTAGGCTCGGGCCCGAGCTTAACTAGGCCTAATTAGTCTGAGCCCATCCTGGGCCGCAACTGGGTTTTGGGCTGTGAGCTAAATTTCCCTCTGTCTTGAGATCTTCATCTGCTGCGTCCTCTAATTTTGCTTCTTCCCCTGCCTCTACCTCTACCTCTACCTTTATTTTCTATGACGAGGGCATGGGATTGATCTCCATCCATATCTTTCTTCCTTGTCTCTTCACTGAATAGAGCATCTATAACCATGCTCATGGTTAGTTTTCCTTTTGGTGTAGAGTTATTGAGGGACACCACCAACGTCTCCCAACTATCTGGCAAAGAACTGAGCAGCAAAAGGGCCTGCATCTCATCATCTAATTCCATTTTGACAGTTGCCAGTTGGTTCACTAGATTTTGTTCATGGGTCCGACAAGACTCTGTAAACTGTCCCGACATTGATTCCGGTTAGTTTCTACAAGGGTCCAGCAAGACTCTGTAAACTGTCACAACAACTGTCACCACATTGTCTGCTACAACGGTCCGACATGACCTCATAAACTGTCATCTACATCGGTCTGACACCGCCATCCAGTGTCCTCTACACCGTTATGACACCACCATACAGTGTCCTCTACAACGTTATGACACCCCCATACAGTGTCCTCTACAACGTTATGACACCACCATCCAGTGTCTTCACCAATGGTCTGACACGACCATACAGTGTCTCCTATCCTCTTTTATTTTTATGTATTTTCTTGTTTTGTTACTCTCTTCAAACTCAAGTTGGTTAGTTTCTATCCTCCTTGAGTTTGCGGGGGGCTGTTAAAATTTACCATCACCTACCACCAATTTACCATCACCTACCACCACCTACTCCTCACCTACTACACTCACCCTCTCCTATATAATGAGCCACTCACCATTTGTAATATATAACATTATATCAATCAATAATACATCATTCATTCTCTATACAATTCTCTTTATACATTGATTTTTACATAGACAATATGCAATATATATGTGTCCATGTCCCTAGTTTACCGTTGCACCAAGCAATGCCCCTCAAAATTGAGTTTTGGTTCCATAAAAAAAAAATCCGTAGTCTTTTCCAAAGAGAAACTCCCAAAAATTAATTTGCACAGAAACTATATCCAACAATAGAAGACTCAGAACATAGTTTTGGTAAAAATTTGGACCAATAGCATTTTAGTTTTTGATAATGTTTGCATTTATTGTTTCATTGGATGTTGTATTCATGATTTATTATAGAAGAAGTTCATTTAAAAGTTCTCTCTCTCTGTAGTTTTTTTTCTTGATTTATGCTTTCAATGGAACAATGGGATTCTAGATCAAATTTCATTGATATTAAACTGATATGCACTAAACTGATGGGAGCTAAGTGATACATCTGACCATTGGTAGTTGGTATCAAGCCCTTCAGCTAAAAATGGCTACTCAACAGAGAGTTGGTCTACACCCTATCAGTTTTATTCAACATAGTACTGTAGAGTGGGATACATCTGATATATAAGAATATTGTCTGCATTTCTGTTTCCACTGTGTCTTGCTTTGTTTTTTTATTTAAATATCTAATAATTGCAGTTGTCTTCCTTGTGGGCACATTTATGGTATGTCTTGCATCAATAGATGGATTCAACACCGTGGTGGATATTACGCCAAGGTATTTTAACTGAATAGCCAATCCTGTAATAAGGCTGCACTAGAACAGATAGTGGAATCTCAATTTAACTTCTTTTTTTCCATGTTGTAGTGCCCTCAATGCAACGAAAAGATCACCTTGAAGGATGTTCGAAAGCTTTATGCATCACCAGTAATTGTGGTTGATGAAAATTCACGAAAGGTCAACATCATTTCTTGTCTCATGGGATTGATGTTTGAAAGGAATTTTATAGGAACTTGTATTGATTCATGTCTTTACTTTTCTACAGAAAGTTGAATCACTTGGTGCTGAAAATAAATCACTTGAGGCTGAAAATAGGTGTCTCAAGACTGAGGTTAGCTTACTTACATGCAAAGAAACATACTGTTGCTGAGTAGAGGTTGGCTTGAGCAGGTTTTATGTTCATTTTTTATTGATGATATTTCTACCTGAATATAACATTAACTGAAATACTACAGGTCTGGCTATGATATCTTGGTGCTCATTTCTCTGGTCTCCCTATATTGCTCGCTTTTGGGTTTAAAATTTTTGTGCAAGCTTAAGACAGTTCATGCAGATGAATATGGATTGAGTTATTGCAGAAAGTTGTGTTGGTTACCAATAGCTACCATAAAATTGGTTTCAAACTTAATTTTGTCTATGTTTGGAGCAGCTCTGGAAACATGATTCCAATGCATTTTTCAATGCTTTGTTTGGTTTAAGTTTTCAAAAATTGATTCCAATGTCACATTCTAAAACTCATTTCAGATCATGTTTGGAGAGCAGAGCATTTTTTTAATTTTGAATTTTGAAAAGAGCAAATTGGGTCTACCCGATCATCCTTCCGGACGTCCCCCCGAACATCCGGCCGGCCTACCTATTGACCGGAACATTTTTTCTATTTTTTGGTGGGCAATTGGCACCTGTTATTTGAAAAAAAAAATGGGGATTTGTTTTGATTTTTTTTTTAACAAAAAATAATATATTTTTTAATATTTTACATAAAATTTTTTAAATAAAAAAATTGTTTTTGTCAATAATTATTTTTTTAATTGAATTTTAAATAGAGTTTGGTTATGAGCTTTGAATAAAATTTTAAGTTAAGTTTTTTAATCAAACAACTTTTCTAATTTGAAAATTCATTTCAAAATTTCAAAACTTAATTCAAGTCTCTTTTCAAAACTCATAACCAAACAAATTTTCTCTTTTCAAATTATAATTTGAAAACTCACAAATTCAAAATACAACTCCGTACACAAATCATAATTCCCAAATTCTACCAAACGTTAAATTTATTTTTGCAGAGAGCCAATCTACTTGATATTCAAGATTAGAGAATTGAGTCATGGTTGGGTGGTTGTGTCTGTTACATTTAGTTATTATAAAATTGGTTGCAAAATTTATTTCTATTTTTTGTAAGTTATTGAGCTGCAGAAATACTGTAATGCTTTCTTGTTGTCTATGCAGAGAGCTAATCTACTTGATATTCAAGATAGTTTGCTCAAAGAATTGCGTCATCTCAAGGAGGTTGGTTTGATCATAAACATAGTTTAAGAGTTTACTTTCATTGCAAATTTAGTAATGCGTAGTTTATGTTGATTCAAAATTTATGCCTTTGGTTATGGACCGTGGTTGTGTACATGCACGTGTAATTTTGTTGGCCATTAGATATTGTAGACCGCCCGAACTCCACTCTGCGCGCGAGGGCGCAAATTGTAGTTCTAGCTACTACAGTTCGGACTCCTGTCACGGTTCTGAATTTAATCTCACAATGTGCAATGTAAGACTGATAAATCACCAAAGAGTCTAAATCCGGCAATTGGTTTTGAAAAATCAATTTTGAAACAAAAAACGCCAAACATGGACTGTTTTGCCAGATTTCAGAATCGCCACCTAAATATTTTATTTTTAGAAAATTTAGGAAACCCTGACTCGTACCTAAGGCCACGTGTCCGTCATCACCAAAGTTGTCTCGGCTCGGGAACTTGGGTACGAAAGGGGAAGGTCCTGAAATGAGCACTCCCGCTCGCCCGATCAAAGGATCGGCCTCTACTAACATGATATGTTGTTTTTGAAAACACATGTGTTCTTGTTCTGATTTATTAGCTAACTTATTATGTGATATGCACAACACACAAGTATAGACTAAATCACTCAATTTGGAACAAAATATCGCATGTTTGTTTTTCAAAAATGGTTTGAAGTTGTCACCCTCAAGTTGGCTTAAAACATGATTTGCCACAAACAAGTGAGCTTAAAACGCACATTTTGATGAATTGTTCCAATTCAAGTAATGAAGCCTTCATCCACAGGCATTCATGCAGTTATAGCAGTTAAACAAATAGCCTCATGGCAAGCATTTATTACAACAATACGCCCTCTCGACGGAGGGTCCGAATAATAAGCTAACTAGCTAGTTTAAGCTAAGCTAACTAATTAATCTAATAAAGCGAATTAGACTAGTTATTACATAACACAAATTGAATGACTAGCTACAACTAGTTATTACAGTACTTTAACTAATCAACAAATTAATTAAGTTACAAATTCAAACTAAACAACAAGTAAAGCTGTAAATGAGGCTGCCTCAGCTCTGTTCAAGAAGGTGGAAGGTGTATGCATGCTCGATTACTTCGTTCGGAAATCCATTACTATGCCCAAACTTGTCTCTGTTTGTATTTGATTTCAGAACACTGCACAAACTTCCAAATAGCTTTTACTCCAACATGGAGATCTCCAGGAAGGTTGCTGACCAGAAAAGGAGGCTGTAAACTAGCTGTAGACCAGAAAAAGTGGTCGGCCAGCCACTTTTACTGGTCTGCCGACCAGAAATTTTGCCACACTCCAGTTTTGCTGCAACAGAGAACAAGAAGGGGCATATCAGTGTATTTGCAAGGTATATGTGCACAACTACTCTCCCTATCATTTCTCAAGCTCAAGGGAGTGCGGTTCTCGACTCTCGGGCCACCAATCGAGCATCGCAATGCACGATGGCCGAGAAGCCAAGTTTGCACAATTCAATGTCAATGAATGCACAAATAACACATAAAAGCGTCCGCCTCTATCATGCATGATCAAGAGAGTCGGCGATCGAGAAATGAGGCACATTTTATCACTTCAAGTATGAAACGCCCTTCGTTCCTCATGTTTGGATTAACGCTCGATCTAAACACAATGCAACACATACAACATGATCAACCTATCAATGTTAATGGCATGCACAAGATTTTTATCATGCAAGAATGCATGCATGGCATGTTTGGAGGCTAAAGCATCAAAGCAAGTAAAAAGCATCATACAAGAGGCATGCAATACAATGCTCAATGGACTTAAACCAGATATGGACAGACCTGAGAGACTCCAAAATAGTGGCCAGTACACCAAAACTTAGGCACAAAAAGGCAAGATATGCATGCACATGTAATGGCTCATCAACAAGGCATGGGAGCACAACTCTCAAACATGATTAAGAAGTGACAAATGTGAGAGTGTAGCCATACTATATGCACTGAAATCATGTGTGAAACGATGCCAAATCATCTAAACAACACAAGCATACCATGCTAGAAGGTCTAAGGCACAAGGCTACTAAAGGAGACTACACAAGAGGCATGCAATACATGACACAAACGATTGAACCAACCAAAGACAGAGCTCAATTGGGTCAAAACAAAAACCAAAACATGCTGGGGTGGGAGCTTAAAAGCCTAGACAAGCATGCATACGCATTGGCCCACAAACGAGGCACAAAGGCACAACTCTTAAAAGCACTCAAAGAGTGAAAGAAGTGAGGATATGACAATGCTATATGCTCTGAAATATCATGATAAATGATGCCAAATCATGCACATGTCATAAATGAAGCATGCTAAGAGGCTCAAAGCTTGAAACTAGCATATGTACTTGCACTATAGCTATGCAAAGCAAGCCCCAAAAGGTCAAGAACACCTAAAACAGTCCTAAAGCATGTCAAAATGATGCTAAAATATGTATGGAGTATAGCCAAGACAAGCTAGCATGAAGGGCCAAAACACCAAGTAAGCTAGGCCAATGAGCATGATTACACTACAAGTGTAAGAAGCAAATGAGGGATACTCTAACCAACCAAAAACAGAGTTGTATCATGGCAAAATAACACCAAAAACACACTGAAATAGTAGCCCAAAAGCTTAGACAAGATGACATACATATTAGCTCATGTTTAAGGCATAAAGCACCAACCCTCCAAAGCATTGAAAGAGTGACACATGTGAGTGTATGACAATGAAACATGCTCTGAAATCATATATCAAATGATGCTAAATCATGCAAATAGCCCAAGCAATGCGTGCTAATGGACTCAAAATACAAAGCTAGTGAGCAAGATTGCACTATGGCTATATAAAGCAAGGCATGTATGACCAAGAACACTTAAAACAGAGCTTAAGCATGACAAAACATGAATAAAAGCTTGCTGGAGTGGAGTAAAAAATATGCTAGAATGGTGGTCCAAAGCAATGATGCATGTTAAGATTATAGGGAGGATTGCACTACAAGGTTATAAAGCATGCAAGAGGCAATCAAACCAACCCTAGACAGAGCTATAACATGCTAAAATGACACCAAAAACATGCTAAGATAGAACCAAAATAGGCTAGTATGATGGACCAAAGCATTGAGCACACAAGGCTAAATGGCAAGATTACACTACAAGTGTAAAAAACATGCATGAGGTGATCAAACCAAACCAAGCCAAAACAAAGGTATGTCATGCTGAGATAAGGCCTAAGACATTCTAAGATAGAGCCTCAATGAGGTAGAAAAACATGCTAACTTAGTGAGCCATCAACACAAGCACATAAGATAAGAGGAGGGGGGACAACCCCCACCCATTTGGGGCCTCAAAACACACTTTCTACCACTGAAAATCCACTGGATTTCAGTGGTTAAAAGGCCAAGAGAAGTTGATCTCAAAGGCCTAAAGAGATAGCTCAAAACAAAACCAAACAAGGCACAAAAGGGGGTAGACCACCCCCAGCACCAAAGAAGCCTCAAACAAACATTTCAAATACTTAAAAATGAAGCTTTTTGGAGTTGAAAGTTAAGCCAAAAGAAGCATGCAAATAGGGCTAAGTAAGCAATGAAAACAAAGGTTTAAAGAGGGTATTGACTCACCCTTGAAGAACAAGAACAAGGCAGCAACTTCAGGGACAAAAACCAAACCAAAACCACTCAAATGCAACCTCCAAGAACCTCAGCTCAAGAGTGAATGTGTATCACTAGGTGTTTGTGTGCAAAAGTGTGAAGAAATGGCACTTTTGAGCACAAAACAACACAAATATATATATATATATAGAGAGAGAGAGATAGAGAGAGAGAGAGAGAAATATAAAGATAGAATGATATGTATAGCCCTCAGCCAATTTTTCTAAACCTGAGACAAGAGGGGGGACGCTTCCTTTTATAGAATTCCAAGCTGCAAGCTTGTTGAACAAGTGTATGGAGGATGCTTTCTGTACCCAACAGCTGGCACAACTGGCATGGAAAATATCTGCAGAAAGTGCAAGAAAGCTGCCGACCAGTTGAAGTGGTCAACTGACCACTCCCACTGGTCAACCGACTAGAAAAAGTGGTCTGTAGGGAGAACAACTGGTCGGCAAGGGGAGGGGGAGAGAGGGTCTGCACAAAAAGAGGAAGGTGGTGGCATGGCTGCCGACCACTTTAGGTGGTCCACAGACCACCCACCCTAGCTGGTCGACCAGAAAGCTGGCTGGCAGGGAAGAAAAGTGGTCTACAGGAGGAGAAACTGGTCTACACCCCTGTTCCACTCTCCAGGCAAGGGAAAACAAGGTTTGGTTCAAAACCAAACCAAAAAGGAAGCAAGACAAAAGTCCGCGGGACAAGGCATGTAGCCGGAAGCCCCGGAAATTAGTCTACGGCTACAAAAAGTGGTCTACGAGAGGGAAAGGTAGTCTACGACTACAAAAAGTGGTCTACAGACCTCTATTTCCCTCTAGGCAAAGGCAACAAGGCATGGTCCAAAAACCAGGCCAAGATGAGAACGTTAAGAGGTTCCGAGACAAGGCGCTCGGCCGAAGCCTCCGGAAATCGAAAACTAGTCTACAAGAGAGAAAAGGAGTCTATGACTACAAAAAGTGGCCTACATGCCTCTCTCTCCCTCCAGGCAAGGTCAACAAGGCATGGTCCACAAACCAAGTCAAAACACAAAGAGTTCAGAGGCCTGGAGGCAAGGCACTCAACCGAAAACTCCGGAAACTCAAAACGAGCACAAACATGCGCGATCATCGAGCGCTCAAACGATGACGTCTGAGTCTTAAGGTCGGTCAAAAATGGAGTGTCTACAGTTGTCCCTCTTTGACAGAACTCGGAAGTCAAGAAGTGACGGGAGTGAATGTCAAAGCCTAGAGATGACCCATTTTTGAGAAGGCCAAAGACTTAGACAGACAGGCAAAATAACAAAGAGATGTGCCCGCAGGCAGGGGCAAGATTCAAATGACATGCACAATGCCGAACATAACTTATGATTATGCAAAGAGGGCTGTAATGAAACATCTAGATGCAAATGTTATGCAAAGAAATGCTACAACAAACTCGTACACAAGCAAATAAGTAAACACGCCACGCGTGGGAATGACAGACCAAACTACATTTCATGCTGAAAGGATGTAAGAAAATTATGCAATCTTAGCGAGCATATGTGATAAATACACAAAGCAAACGTATGATGGATACACAAAATGAGCAAAGTGCGATAGATACACAAAGTGAGCAAGCATGTGCAATAGATACACAAAAGTGAAGAAAGTGTGATGGATATACTATATGAACAAGGTGTGATAGATACACTAAGTGAAGCAAAGTGTGATAGATACACTAAGCGAACGTGTGATAGATACACAAAGTGAGCATGTGTAATAGATACACAAAGCGAACGTGTGATAGATACACAAAGTGAGCATGTGTGATAGATACACTAAGCGAACGTGATAGATACACAAAGTGAGCATGTGTGATAGATACACAAAGTGAACGAAGTGTGATAGATACACAAAGTGAGCAATCTGAAACGGAACTTCTTTGAATGAACCGTACATACAATATCGTTTGGTTGCACCAGCTTCAAATGAACCATACATACAATATTGTGCCTGCATAAGAAAGAAACTCAACAGGTACAATATAGTAGTAACACATGTTCAACGTTACATCAAGACACAATTCCAATACAAGATAAACGCGTGCATATACAATGCAAGTGGTGCATAGCGACGCAAGTGAAAAGTGCAAAGCAATGCAAGTTAAAAGTGCGTAACAATGCACGTGGAGAAAGCTGCATGTCTATGCAAAACTGATATACGTATTATATGCAATGAGTGCATGTTCGATGCAATGAAACAGGTATGGACAATTCCTACACAAATGTAAAAGGATGCAAAATGCAATACGATGTGACACGCATACTCTGTGGAGACATAAGAACTTGTGTAGTGCAATGCAACACAGCACACACATTCCATGCATAACAACAATGCATTTTCAGTGCAACATCAACAGCATGTTTGAAGTAAAATGTCGAATAGGGAAATACACGCCTTAACGAGACCAATTCAAACGCAATCTCCGATTTACCTCTCGAAGGGGTCACAACGTACTTAAAAGGATACACCTTACTCTTGACGAGTGACGATGCGTCGTGCATCGAAGACGTGAATCGAAGTTCCCGCAGGGACATTTTGAATTGAAAATAGTGAACTTTTCTTGCACTTTCTCGAGAGCCGAGGACTCCAATTAGCATAAAAACACACAGGGAGGACAATGGGACCCTAAAGACCACACAGGAGGGCTGCCGACCACCTAAACCATCTGCAGACCACCTGTAGACCACCTAAGTGGTCGGTCGACCTGAAAAACTGTTCGGTCGACCAGTTTAGTGAATCCAGGGTAGTTTAGTCTTTTGAGGTTCGGCCCTTTAAGTACACAACTCCAAAACACATTTGCTCACAAACTCAAGGCTGAAATTGACTCCCCTTCCTTTCTAGGCCCTTTTCCCTCTTAGATTCGGGGTTTGCACGCGTTTTCCAACGCTCCATGTGAAGATTTGCGAAAAACTTTCAATTCTCTTCGTTTTGAACCGATCAGAATTTGTTTTCGGAGCTTCTTTCTCCATTTTCACCACTTGAGGTATGTTTCTCTCGAAGTTTAGCACATTTTCCCGGGCTTTGACTTTCTTTGATTTTTTCTCTTCCCGAGAGTTTACTTTTGTTGACTTTTGGCAATTTTAGCTCATTTCGTTCATTTTTGCTCAATTTTGTACCTTTTTTCAGATGGCTGACCACATCCCACACGATGGGGTTTCTCTGCGAGTAGAGGATGAGCCTGACATCATGCCATTGCCGCCCAGGATTCGGCTATTCGACCCGGAGAGGTACCACCCTCAGGAGCACATACTACCACCGAGCACTTTTCATCATTTCACAGATTTTGCGCGACGAGCACCCGCAGACTTGCTACTACAGGAGCCGGAGTCTCACCTGTCTCACCACGCGCGCGAGGTGCGTACTGCACTTTTACATTTTCTGCGATGTATTTTGCATTTCTTGCACACTTCATGCTTTCGCTATGTATTTTATCTGTTCGTTCTGAACACATTTACATACATAGTACTTTTGCTCATCCTGAACACAACTCACACTGCATTTCTGCTCATTCTAAACACAGCTCACACATTGCATTTCTGCTCATTCTGAACACAGGTGGCTTCCCGCTTTACCCGGGGATATGGGTCGATCATAGCGAGGGAGTGGTATACGGAGCTCCCAGACGATGTTCGACAGCTTGTTGATGAGGCAGGGTTCGGCCCATTTTGCACAGGGTTATCGTGTCTTGCAGCGAGTAGGACCCTCCTAGGTGCACTAGTAGAGAGATGGTGGGACACCACCAACTCCTTCCATTTCTCAGCTACCGGGGACATGACGATGACCCCATACGACTTTGCTATGTTGACGGGCCTCGACGCGGGAGGTCAGTCGATCCCATATGACTCAGACATGGGTGAGTGGGAGGCAGCTTGGACCTATCTACTCGGAGCCTATCCGCCGATCTACCGATCATCAGGCTCAGTCAGATACACCTGGTTCACAGAGCAGTACAGAGGGACTGTGCCCGAGACTGTTGAGGCCACGGAGCAGTATGCCCGGGGATTCCTGATCTTCCTTCTTGGGACCACATTGTTCTCCAACAGAGGGAACACGGTCGGACTACATCTTCTGAGTGCTCTAGTAGACCTTTCCCAGGTTCGGCACTTCGATTGGGGCGACGCTGGCCTTACTACCCTTTATTGCTATATGAGCGCGACCTCCCGCGGGTGCGGGAACATAGTAGGCGGCTATTGGAGAGCTTGGAAGGTACATTCTGCCCTCTTGATTTACATTTCTGTATTTCATTACTTGTACACTGCACACTCTGCACATTGCACACATTACACTCTGTACTATACATGTTGCACTCTGCATTCTGCATTCTGCATTTTCTGTATATTCTGTATTCTGACTGCCACTGTCTTGCCTTTCACAGCTGTAGGTATGCGCCTATTTCCCGACGCTTGCTCCTGATCTAGAGGTCGAGGCACCACTTGAGGTGCCGTTCTCGCGTAGATTTGAGGGTCGATGCCGACCCAGGCCCTGAGAGACTTTGCCATATCTCAGGCATTATTTTGATACAGTACGGGCGACCGAGCTAATCCAGAACTCTCAGTTCTTCATGCTTTCAGCTTTGATTCATCTTGCATATCTATGACAACTAATCAATTTATGCACTTGCTATCCGCAGATCACCTGGCAGCCTTGGACAGCGATGCTGGGGTTTTCTCGATTCCAGTTTGCTGGGGCATGGGGCGCTTCCCGATACCGGATTTTGTTTGAGGGACCAGTTGACAGAGCCTGGTTTCTCGGGGAGCGCTTCATGCGCCAGACACTGGGTTATCCCGCTCAGGAGATCCCTTCACCGCCTCCCTTAGACATGCGGTCCACAGAGAGTCTCACTTCCCAGGAGGTTAGCGATCTTATGTAGGGTGCTGACGCAGTCCTTTTTCATAAGGAGGGGAAGTACACGACATACCTTCACACATATCTGATGCCTCCGCTAACAGGTGTTCATACCCCCATGAGGAGAGCTGCTGACATTCCTTCGTCGAGCCGCACCCGAGCTATAAACATTCCCTCAACTAGCAGGGCCAGTACATCGAGAGGTAGGACTAGGGGGATGCCCTTCACTTGGCAGTGTGCTGGGTGGCCGGATCCTCCGACCGAGCTGACAGGCTGGCGATATGGGACGCCTTATCAGATTTCACTGGAGCCTCCACTGCCAGATCATCGATATGTCAGTGCCCCTGACTCAGCATTGGTATGCTTCACAGCTTTTATCTATCATTCAGATATTTAGATATTCATTCATTCACTGATGACTTGAACTTGCATCTGCAGCCTCCCAGAGGATATGTTGAGGGGTTGCTCGAGGCGATGGCCTTACTCGAGGGTATGGTCTTGCGGAGGGAGACGATGTTGTACGCCTACGACATTTCGGTACTTTTCAATTTCCTTGTATTTATCATACTTCTGATGATATACCAAAGTTGAACATTTCACTGCACTGATTCACTGCATGTGTAGATCACGTCCGACACATCACATTCACATACTATATCTGCATGCACTCACTTTATGCACCATACTTGCATTTGATATACATACCCTGGCTGATGTATTCAAACTGCCTTTTCAGGTCACACCTCTACAGCCCGGGCCACCTGGGCCTTCTCGAGTAGCAGGGAGAGGGATCTCAATACATGGTCGAAGGAGACGTTGAGCGCCTGCCAGACGCGATGACGAGTCTAGTGAGGAGGAGGAGCCAGCACACCCTCAGTCAGAGACATCTGCGGGCAGAGGTGATGACACCAGTTCAGGTTTTGAGGGCGGAGACTAAGCCGAGGAGGATTCCGAGGACGGCGGCTCTGGTTCAGATGGAGGTGCCGACGGTAGTCGTGCAAGGGCTGCTCAGCAGAAGAGGGTGAAGAGAGCCTCTCGATCTTGAGCCAGATGCACCGACTCAGTTGTTTTTGCTTTGTTTTCTTTTTACTAGTAGTTGTAGCACATTGTACAGCGTTAGGCAGTTTTATTTTTCTTAAAACTTGTACCCTGTTATAAAAAGAAACCATGATAGAATGAAAACAGCTTTTTGGTTTGAAAAAGTGTTGTATTTGTATTCTAAGCATCGCATCGCATCATTTTGCACAAAAATGAGATTGATAGAAATTGAACATTCGTGTATTACCAAGTCAAGTAGTGAACCAACGCAACAAACAAAATAACTTAAAGAAGAATTTGATAAACGAATTACAACAACTCGATAAGCAAAGAGCAACAACTCGATAAGCAAACGAATGTTGGACAAACAAAGCAGCAGAACGCATCTGAAGTAGAAATAAACTCAGACCTTCAGCATTCTCACCACATGGGAAGGCTAGGAACTCTTTGTTGGAGACAAGAAGTGGCTGTAGACCACTTTTTGCTCATTGCCGACCAGCAAAACAGGTTGTCGACCACTTTTGTGGTCTGTAGACCAGAAAAAGTGGCTGGTCGACCAGAAAAAGTGGTCGGCCGACCAGTGAGGCTGGGGACCTCCAGATTTTGGCCACCTGTCCTCTAAACAGTGCCTTATCCTCTATAAAGGTTCCAACTTCGTGGTTCCCTCATTCTAACTCAGTTTTTGCACCAAATGGAGGCATTTCTTGTCCAAAATCTCACAAATTGGATTGCTAACTGGATGGCTCGAAAAAGTTGAATTTTCGGGGCTTCGGAATAAATGCACTATTCACGCTAAGCCGCACCCCGCTGCGTTTTTCATTCCTTCATGCCGCGACAAGGTGTTGGAATCCGGTAACTCACATTTTTAGCTTTGGCGGACAAGAGATGTGTCTAACTTTCGAAGATTTCCAGACTTTACTGGAATCCGAGCGTGAGGAAGAGATCTTGCCCCAATTCCGTTTTGGCCATATCCAAGCCTTAGGACGGATGTGCAGGCTCACTTTGCATGACACACGGTCTTTGATCCGCGACGGAGAACTGGACATCCCAAGCCTGATTCGTCGGTTTTCTGATGCCGGTGACCGCGACGATCATCACTGGTAGGGTTTTTGGCGACATGCGCTTTGCTTGTGCATATTGTCCCATTTCTTGCTTGTCCCAGGCTCCAGTGGGTCTAGCGTCCGTTTGATTGAGGTTACCTAAGGTTTAAAAGAGGGCAAGAGCTGTATTGCCATGACGCTAGCTAAGACATTGATGGGTTTGGATGCCTTCCGTCGCTGGGAGACGACTAGATTCGCGGGAAGTCCATTACTACTGCAGGTAATGTTTCCCACCCTATCTCACATATATTTCTCACATCACTCGGTCCTCAGGCTCGGTTTATCTCTCAAAACCCTTTTCTCATTTTTTTTCTCCACGTACATCTCTTTATTCTTTAATCTCTCATTTTTCATCCCTCCCCAGATATGGTTGATGGATAAGTTGAAGGTTATGGACTCATGCCCAGCATATTCAGCTCGCGGATATTTCTTCCGGCGACATCTAGTCGATGCCCCAGATGAGGGATGGTGGTGCGAATGGATGTACAGTTTGTCTGCTACCGACATTGCTTGGCACTGCCCTTGGCTTAATCTACCGGCAATGAGCTATAGCATGTCTCGCTAGCCCGGGATTCAGTTGATCAGCCTAACACACTCTGTCTTTTACTTCCCATTTCGAATCCGGCGCCAATTTGGGCATGATCAGGCTTGCCCGGAAGAAGGGATAGAGTACCCTGTTGCATTTCCAGTCCGAGGCGCACAGCTAGCTCGGTATGCCACAGCATGGAAGACAAGAGAGCTTTTGGCCCCCGCTCCCACTTTCAGTTGTACCCTCTCTGATGAGTGCATAGCTTGGCTTGATGAAGAGGCATATGTTGGGCCTACTTTGGCATCAGAGGCTTCCACAAGTTCTGGGAGGGGCCGCAGGAACACCTGACTTGACTATGCCTCGAGTTTATTGCTTTATCAGTACTTGCAAGTTTTCTTTATGAATGTAATAAAAAGCAACTTCAATTTGTATTCAAGAGTAGGAGAACTCTGTACTGAAATCAATGTAATTAAAGGTTGTGGATACTGAAAATTTTCCATTTGGTCAAAAAATGGTCTAAGTCGTAAAAAGATTAATTTGAGCAAAATCAACTTTTATTAAAATTTTTCAAAACCATTTTCTATATGGATCATAATTGGACACGCCCGAGATCTATCATTGAGATGTACAACCCTGGATCCATCAACTAGAAAGTTGCCCCTAGTTTGAATAGCACTGCACTGGAGATCACAACTGAGCTCTTAAATGTAGAATAGACAAAGATGACCAATATGATATCATGGACAAAGTTGATTTGGAAGTGTTTATGTCTGAACTTCAAAATGAAGTTGCCTACGTATCCCAAAAATGGGAATCAAGCCTTACGTAGTTCGGTTCAGGTTCACTCATGTATTAACACTCTCCTTTTGCGCTCTAACTTTTGTCAAGGCCGCCCTTTCTGGGTTTTCAACCTTGCAAGCTCAGTTTTTATTATTTCAAATTCTTCATGCTCTAACTTTTGCCTAGGTCGCCCTTTCGGGTTTTCGGCCTAGCAAGCCACTCAGGGATAGTATTTCTTTAACTTGTCCATGTGATCGGCTGGGAGAACTCTAGGCCATCTAGGTCCATCAGAATGACAGCTCCACCTGACCAGATAGACTTGACGATGTAGGGACCAGTCCAATTAGTCCTGAACTTGCCCCTAGGGTCGTGGATGGGAGCTCGGTTGTCTTTGAGCACTAAATCCCCTTCTTTCAAATTCCTGGACTTAACCTTCTTGTTGAAAGCCCTAGCAATTCTTCATTGATAACCTTGGACGTGATACAGTGCTTTAAGCCTTCTTTCATCAAAGAGCATGAGTTCTTCGAACCTGCTTTGCTGCCAATCTGCCTCAGCTATCTGACACTCAGCCAATACCCGTAATGACGGAACCTCGACTTTGATAGGCAGAACAGCTTCCATCCCATAAACTAAGGAATACGAAATTGCCCCAGTAGAAGTTCGAATTGAAGTCTGGTAGCCCCAAAGAGCAAACGACAGCTTATCTGGCCAGTCCTTGTAGGTTTCCACCATCTTTTGCAGAATGTGCTTGATGTTCTTGTTGGCAGCCTCAACAGCTCCATTGGTTTGCGGCTGATATGTAGATGACTTATGAAAAGCCACGTTGTACTTCTCCAACAAGTCGATCACCTCCTTCTTGAAGTGGGAACCATTATCCGAAATAATCTCATTCGGGACCCCATAGCAACAAATGATGTTATTTCTGATGAACTTAGCGACATGCGATGCCTTCAACACCACGTAAGATTGGGCCTCAACCCACTTCGTAAAGTAGTCTATCGCTACTAGAATATATTTATGCCCGTTGGACCCCTTCGGAGTGACAGCCCCAATTACATCAATCTCCCAGATTGAAAACGACCACGGTGAAGTCGTGTTGTACAGCTTCGACGGCGGAATGTTCATGCGGTTGGCATGGATCTGACATTTGTGGTATCGCCGAACAAAGTCAATATAATCCTCCTCCATAATTGACCAGTAATAACCCTGTCTAAGGATCTTCCGGGCTAGCATCACCCCGCTCATGTGCGCTCCGCACTCTCCTCCATGGATGGCCTCCATCAGGCACTTGGACTTTTTAGCATCGACACACAGTTTGTGCATCCCGAGATGACCCCTCTTGTACAGTTTATCCCCGCAGACGATGAACTAAACAGCCATTCTTTGAATTGCCCTCTTATCTTTGGCAATTGTCGCTGGTGGATACACCTCCTTTTCTAAGAAGTTCCAGATGTCGTAATACCAAGGATTCTTATCTTGTACCTCATCTATGGCAGCAATCAGCTCGTAGGCCGGCACGAATTTCTGTTCAATGATGATCGGACGCATTCGGACTCCGAAAGGGATGTCTATCATAGAAGATAGAGTTGCTAATGAATCAGCGAACCTGTTGTTCTCTCTTAACAGATGGGCAAAATTCAGTTTTTCAAACCGAGGAATCAGAACGTCCAAGGTCTGGTGATAGATTCTCATCTTTTCTTCTTTAACTTTCCAATCTCCTTTAGTTTGAGATACAACAAGGTTCAAGTCTCCGATGACATCCAACCGTCTTGCCCCTAGTTCCAGGGCGGCTTATAGTCCAACAATACATGCCTCATACTCTGCCTCATTGTTCGACACTTTGAACTGGAGTTTGAATGCTAGAGGTATGCGGGAATTGTCGGGCACTATTAGCGACACCCCTATCCCATACCCGTATTGGTTTGACGCTCCATCAAAGTACATCGTCTAAGTCTCTTCTTCGACATGCAGAATGGCCTCGGTCTGGGAACAGATACTCAACTGCTTCATCCCCGTTCACTGGGTGATTGGCTAGGAACTCCACTACCGCTTTCCCTTTCACTAACTTGCGCGTCATGTACTTCAAATTGAATTCAGAAAGCAGAAGCAACCAACGGGCTAGCCTACCTGTAAGTGCTGGTTTCTCGAAGAGATATTTGATGGGATCTAATCTCGAAACCAGTATTACAGAGTGAGCTAACGGATAGTGTCTCAGCTTCATGGTAGCCCATACCAAGGCCAGACAAGCCTTCTCTAGCGGAGTGTAGCGGATCTCGTAATCCAGTATTTTCTTGTTCAGGTAGTAGATGGCCTTCTCCGCTTTGTCCTTAGACTCCTGCGCAAGCATGCAGCCCATTGTCGTTTCAGTCACTGATAGGTATAGAATCAACGGTTTCCCCGGCTCAGGCGGTGACAATACAGGTGGGTTCTGTAGATATTGCTTGATCTGTTCGAAAGTAACTTGGCATCGGTCATCCCATTGAAATTTCTTTCCTTTCTTCAAGAGACCAAACAGTGGTTCACAAGTCAAGGTTAATTTTGCAATAAACCGTTTTATGAATTGCACTTTACCCAGAAAGCCTCGAACCTCCTTTTCAGTCCTCGGTGGTAGTATTTCTAAGAGGGCCTTGATTTTGGAAGGATCAACCTCGATACCCCTTTGTGTGATCAAGAACCCCAGCATTTTCCCTGTTGTAACACCAAATGTACATTTCTGAGGATTCAGCCGCAACCGATACT